AGTGGTTAAGAGCTCAGCTGCTAACCAAAAGGTTGGCAGTTCAAATCCACCAGCCACTCCTTGGAAACCCCACGGGGCAGTTCTACTCTGTCCTACAGAGTTGCTATCAGTCAGAATCAACTCGACGGCAATGGGTTTGGTTTGGTTTTGGTTACAGTGTGGAACAGAGCCCTGGTGGCACAGTGGTTAAAGCACTCGGCTGCTAACCAAAAGGTTGTTGGTTTGAATGCACTAGCCACTCCGCAGAGGAAAGATGTGGCAGTCTGCTTATGTGAAGATATGCAGCCTTGGAAACTCTATGGGGCAGTTCTGCTCTGTCCTACAGGGTCGCCATGAATCAGAATTGACTCTATGGCAGTGGGTTTATAGGGTGGAACACGCAGAATCATTCCCACTGTACAGATGAGGAAACAGTTTCAGAAAGATCAGTCACACAGCCAGAGACTGGCACGTCAGAGGTTCAAATCCCAATCTGTCTAGTTCTAATCTTGTACTTCCCCACCAATATACATTGCTCAGTGGATGAGATTTATTAGTTTTAACTACCACTTGGGGCAAACCATCAGTATCTTTAAAGACGTAAAGAAAGAAAGTTTCTCCCGCTGTCAGGATGTGGCATCAAGGGCTTGTTGTAAACATTCCTTCCAGGGACACTAGGACTCACAGACCTGTGCCTTAGAGAATTTACAGCTCATTCTCTTCACCTAACAGACACGATACCTCGAAACTGTCAGATGACGACTGTTCTTAAACTCAAACTTCTCTTAGGTTCCCTTAAAAACCAATAATTACATTATACCACTCACTCTCAGGAAATTATTCCTCAGACAACCTAATCCCCCAGGTTGCTCTGAAGAACACCCAGTTGCCGTTTCTGGTTGGCAAGATATCTTTCAGGCCTTTGAAGATTATAAAAATGCCATATAATTTCCATTTCCCTGGGAAAAAGAATCATAATTTTTCTGACCTTGTCTCACAAATTCTAATTCTCTTCCTAGTTTAGCTCTCCAATGAATAATAAAATCCCCTTCAGTTCTAAATTCCAATTCCCACGTCACCTTAAAACATAAGTCACTAATAAAATAATTATTACATTTGTTTTATCAATTCAGTGAGAGATTAACCTGTTAGGTTCATACATACAAGAGGATAAAAAAACACAAATATGTGTTTTTTAAATTTTTTTTATTGTTGCAAAAATAGATGCAACACATTTGCCATTTTAACATTTTTCAGGTGTACAACTTAGAAACATCAATTACATTAGTCACACTGCACAACCATTATCCATAACTGATGTCAAATTTGCCATCATCATAAACAGAAGCTCACTGCTTCCCAAACAATGGCTCCCCCTCCCCCCCCCCCCCCAGCAACCACTAACAAACTTTGGTCTCTATACATATGCCTATTCTTGTCATTTCATATAAGTGAGACCATCCTTTCATCCTTTTGTGACTGACTTATTTCACTCAGCATAATGTTTTCAAGCCCCATCCGTGTAGTAGCACGTATCAGGACTTCATCTGCCTTTATGGCTGAGTAGTACTCCATTGTATGCATGTACATTCTGCTTATCCATTCATCTGTAGATGGACATTTAGGTTGTTGCTATCTTTTGGCTATTGTGAGCAGTGCTGCAATGAACACTGGTGTACATGTGTCTGCATCGCTGGTTTCAAGTCATATATGTGCTTTGTGAATCTGTGCCCTTATTCTGTCCATTGGTGCTCCCCCGCTCCCATGCCAATTTCCATTCTATCATGCGCCAAGGATGCAGGATCTCTGTTAAAAGTGAGCTGGGCTAGGAGAATGGGTAGTGTACAGCTGCATGGCTGAGTCCAAGAATCATGCTCCCTAACAGGTATGGAAGGAGCCCTGGTGGCGCAGTGGTTACAAGCTCAGCTGAGAGCCAAAAGGTCGGCAGTTTGAATCCACCAGCCGCTCCTTGGGTGAAACCCTATGGGACAATTCTACTCTGTCCTATAGGGTTGCTACGAGTAGGAATAGACTTCACCGGCAACAGGTTTGATTTTTGGCTTAACAGGTATAGAAAGAAGGCAGAGGACAGATTTGAATGCTCCAGAAGAAAAAAAGAATAGTCCTCATTTAAAAAACACCTCTCTTATCACATTCCAGTATTTTAAGGTTTATTTCAATCAGCCTATTCATCTTTTAAAATACAAATGCTTCTTGAAGGGTTAGACCTCATTTAACATAAATTTAATCAGCAGATCAGATCAATAACTATCTAAAAACAGGAAATGGATCTCTTTTTAGAAGAAGAAATGAGAATGAATTCCCAGGGGAGAGGTGACAGGAGCAGGGGTGGCTGGAGAGGGTTTAGAACAGAATAGGAAGAAGTGGTAAGTCAAACTTGATCTACTCTACAGGTCTGCCTAACACTTTGGTGACAGCTGTAGGCCACAGAAAATTGTTTGCATATATATTAATATATATTTGAGCTAAAATATCAAGGACTGATTTAGAAGAATGCTGGTTTCGACTTCCTTATCTTGTGCAAGCCTGAACTGGAAAGGAGAGAGGAAGAGAGTGGGGGAAAAAATTTTAATCTATTCAACATTCCTATTCTGTTCCTGTTGCCATCGAGGCGTTTCCAACTCACAGCAACCCTATAAGACAGAGTAGAATTGCCTCCACAGGGTTTCCAAGGAGCTGCTGGTGGATTTGAACTGCTGATCTTTCAGTTAGCAGCCAAGTGCTTAACTGCTGCACCACCAGGAGTGCATATACTCATGTAATTCTTCTCTACCCAACTTTGGTGCTGTGACCTAGGAGTAGTTTGGAGGTAGTCAGACCAGGGCTGGTTAGGTTGCTCAAGAAACCAGACTCCTTCGGGTTCCACTATCTATAAGCGCCCTCCAGAATGAGGTCTTTTATATTTTAAAATATAAAGAATTCCAGTAGTGGATATGATATAGATAAAAATATTTTATGCACTTAATTCTGTAGGTAGAAATACAAATCAACCTACAATTCTGCTACCAACTCTTGCCACTGCGTGGACAATCAGGTTTTGTACAGTTTGTAGCCATAAGATATTTCTTTATATATGAATGGAGCCCTGGTGGCATAGTGGGTAAACGCTCAGGCTGCTAACCAAAAGGTCGGCAGTTAGAATCCACCACATGTATGTACACATGGCTATATCTACAGTGAGACGACAGATCTATACTACCAATGGCACCCTGCTAAGAATGTATAAAGATACAGAATAAATCTGTTCAAAATCAATACATCAATGGTGAGTACGAAAAAATACTTACCTGAAGTCAAGTAGTGAAACACTCTAGACTTTTTGAAACAAACAAAAATAAGGGATGAAAAGGCTAAAACGTATACTTATATGCATTTTTTTTCTCTAAGAGGGACAATAGCAGGACTTGGTTCTATCACAAAACTCAACTGTGGTTAAACATTATTAAAGAATGAGTGCTAAAAAGAACAACCATTTTCTTTATTTTTTTATTGTACTTTAGCTGAAGGTTTACAGAGCAAATTAGTTTCTCATTAAACAATTACAACACATACTGTTTTGGGACACTGGTTGCCAACCCCACGACATGTCAACACTCTCCCCTTCTCGACGTTGGGTTCCCTGTTACCAGCTCCTGTCCCCTCCTGCCTTCTCATCCTTGCCCCTG